CGGTAGAAACTTGAATCCTGTTAAGTTCAATGTTGAAAAGTTAAAAGTTGACAAGTAGAATGCATAAGGTTCTAGATAATGTTGAATGTTGTGTGTTGCAAAGTGTGTACTTATCATGTTGAAATGCATGTTTTTAGATAAGTTGTACTAGAAGAGAAAAATTGCTTTTAGTTGGAAGTTATTTTAACGTTGTAAAGATCTCATTTTGAGGATCTAAAATTGTGTTGCTTCTTGAAGCCCAACTATGAAAAGCCTTGGTGAAAAAGTTGTCTCCTATATGAAAGTTGTTTTTTAAAATTTTATTTTCTAGGATTTTGTTGAAAATGGTATTAAGGTCAAGCTAAACCATACTTGCCATAGGTAGGCATGCAGTTGAGGTTAATGATAATTCATAACTAAGTGCTAAAAGGATACATAGTATTTAGAGGGTAGGCAATAAGCTAATTTCATTTAGGACTTGATTTATACATATTAATGTTATAGTAGGCTCACACCCAAGTTGAATCTTCCTAGTTTAAGTAGTGAGATCTAATAAACCAAACATTACAAAGTTGTATTCTTATTCAAAGTGACATGTCGTTAGTTCGTGGTTCAAACGGCCCATAGTTGTATTGGTTTGATAGGACTAATTCACTTAAATTACTCTAAGTTGTAGAATATTATGCATCTGGGTTAGGGGTGGGGGTTGTGTTGTTGTAGAGTGGACACCATGTTGCTTCCCTAAAAATAACATATTATGGTGTCACTCTCAACTACCCCAACTATAACAAAGTGTTTTATGTTCTCTTCCAAACCTTCCAATATTAGGGATAACACCTTGTTCTCAAGAAGTTTTCCATTCATGGTGACCTAAGTCACTTAGTTTTTCAGGAAGACAAGGAAGTTTTGTTGTAGATAAATTAATTTTTTTATAGGAGCCTATGTGATCATATAAGACACCAAAGACATTTTTTTGCATATTTTAGAGAAAAATATCGTTTTGAAAAACTAGAAAAATATTGTTTTAGTATAGATTTGTTATAGTTAGTTCCAAAGGGATTCATGAGTAAGCAAAGAGGAAAAATAAGCTAGATTTATATCATGATCATAAAGAAAATAACACATCTAATACTGTATAACATACTTTCTTTTTACAAGAGTTGAAAAAGAAGAAGAAGAAGAAGCTTCATATTTGAGGAAGATTATCTTGAAGAGGAAGGACATGATGCAATCATGTCTGGGGACCAAGTATAAAAACAACCAAGAGGAGTGAGTTAGGCATAAAGGAGAAAGACCCAAGCTCTTGTTGAGCTTTGAGTTACTTATTTGTATTTCATATCTTCTTCTTTGTAAGTATTTCTTTCTTTTATTTTTGACCTTGTATTTTGGATCAATTTTTAAGTGGTGTAACTAGTAAATTGAAAATGTGTTAATCAAGCTTGTTTCGACCAAGAGAGAGTGGAAAGCATTTCTCCACGTGGACGTCCATTCACTACAAGAAAACGCAAATTTCTGACGGATATAATCCATCAGTAAAAAGGAAAATCGGTCGAAAATTCTCTATTTCTGACAGATTTGCATTCGTCGAAAAAAGGGGCGTCAGAAAAACAATCTGTCAGAAACAGTTTAATCTGTCAGAAATTTTTGACGAATACATCTGTCAGAAATTGTTTGAAAATATTTATATAATTTTAATAAATTTATCGATGTAACAACCCTCATATTTGGCCTCTCAAGACTTCTATTTCACGACACTTCATTTTTCAACCTGTTTTGCCCTTACTGCACAATTTCTAGGAAACTTCCCAGAAGGCCACCTATCCCTATATTACTCCAAGTCAAGCACGCTTAATTGTGAAGTTCTAATGAGATAAGCTATCAAAAAGCAAATGCATGTTGTCAGTATAGGTAGTACAAATTAATTCATTTAAGTCATCCTCAACTATAGAATCTCATAAAATTAATATTATGATATAATTTAAATTATTTATTATAAATTTAAAAGTTTAAATAATAATTTATATATTTTAAAATGAGAAGGGTTATAATAACATCGGTGTAACTTTTACTAAGTATTACACCGCTCAATAACTATATATTAAATGTGAATTTTGTGAATCCAACCGTTAGATTGAAAGTTCATATAACTTTATATGTTTATATCAAATTTTGTTAAAACTGAACAACAATTTGAAGGTAATCAAAGTGTTCATATTTTAGTATATTTTAAAATGTATATATTATTTCAATTTTTTTTTACAAGAATGAAGTATCAAATCATCTTGAATTAATATAAAATTTTGTATATATGAACTAAGAGTAAAAAAACTTTCAATCTAACGGTTGAATTTATAAAATTCACATTTAATATAAAGTTATTTAGCGATATAATACTTAGTAAAAGTTGCACCGGTGTTATTATCACCCTTCTCTTTTAAAATATTATTTTTATAAATTAAATTTTAACATTTTAAATAAATTATTAATTAATTTAATATATTTATTCATCTTAAATCTAAAATATAAAATTCAAAAAATGTATTTATCCTTGTTTTATTTTCTAATTATCAATCATTAATAAAAATACTAATTTAAAATATTATCTAATTATATCATAATGTTTTCATATCAAATTTAAAATCAGACATTAGTTATATAAAAATATCAAGATCATATAGTAAATTGTTAATAAGATTCTAGTTAAATAATTTAAAATAATTAATTTTTCAACTATATTGTTTGCAAATAATTTATTCCAAAGCTAATCAATTTTTCTATATTAATTATTAGTAAAATTTTATAATTGGATCTATGAAATTCAACATACACCATGAGTTATTGAGCAGAGTTACTTTGTGAGTCATTTGATTCCTTCTCCTCCTCCTCTTTCTCTCTCTCTCTCTCTCTCTCTCTCTCTCTCTCTCTCTCTCTCTCTCTATGTATATATCTATATATATAGATATAGATATAGATATAGATATATAGATATATAGATATTTAAAATTTTATTGATGATCTTTTTTAATATATGATTGTCAATTTTTGTCAAAAATTCTTACATTTTTTACAAATATAAATTTGTCGAAAATATTCCATTATTAATATAACTTTTCCTACGAATTTTTTTCCATTGGAAATATAAATTTTTTAATGGATTTATATCTGTCAAAAATTATCGACGAATAAATCCGTCTGAAACTACCGACGAATATACCCTTCAAAAATTATCAACGGATATATCTGTCGAAAATATAAATTTTTGACGAATTTGTACTGTTAGAAATATAAATTTTCTGACAGATTTGTATCCGTCGAAAATATAAATTTTTTGACAGATTTGTATCCATCGGTAAAATCCGTCAAAAATATAAATTTTCCGACGGATTTGTATCTGTCAAAAATTATATGTCAGTAACTTGCATTTTTCTTGTAGTGATTTTAAGCCCTGGACACTCTCTTATTGGCTTCACACAACTTTCACCTAGTAACACATTTTGCATGTTTGCTTATATCTTCTATCTTACTTCCATACCGCCATCACACCTTCCACACCATGTCACTTGTATAACTCTCATTGGTTAGTTGGATCAAAGAGCTAAAACTTAAAACTCAAATTTGGATAACCATGTTTAGTTAGCTTAAGTACAAGTTAACTAAACTATGATCTACTTGACCACAGTTTATTTAACTTATACCACAAGCTAATCAAGCTTATATGTAGGTGTGGGCTCCTTATATTTCATCACTTTTGGACATTTATAAAAATGAGATTGAATTTTCTCTCAACTTTTAGAATCTTTGAATTCATGTTAACAATTTTAGGGTTTATAGGATGAATCTACTTACTACATTTAATAACTTATATTTTACGTTAAATTTTAACAATTCAACTGTTAAATTAAAAATTCTTAATGAATAAATTAAGTTTACAATTTTTTATAAAATTCAAAAATTAGTTGATACTTCATTATATTAAAATTTAAATTAATGTATAATATGTTTTTATTTATATAAGTTAATTTGAATTAATGTAACAAAATAAAAAATAATTTTTAAATTTATAAAAATTTGTACACTTGATATACTTATTAAGAACTTTTAATTTAACAGTTAAATCGTTGAAAGAAATAATTATACCAAGAGTTACAAGCTTCTCTATTAGAAATAAAGAGCATTTTTAGTTGAGAAACTCTAAAAAATGCTTCTAAATTTGTATTCAAACAAACTCTATATGTGTTTGTAATGTATTTTCCTCTATTATGATTTTATAATAAAAAAAATGTATCACTTTCAATTTTCAATTGTTTATTATTAAAAAATATTTTTTATAAATTTAAAATAATATTAATTATTATTTAATTACACTTATAATTAAAATTTATAATAAGTAAAAAATACTAGTATATAAATTAAAATTAAAATTTATGGTAGAGAATTTATATTACATATTATTTTCATTCATTAAAGCATATATATAATTTTTTTATTTTCGCACTAATATCTTGAGACTTCATCTAAGATTAATTTGTCATGATTGAAAAGTAAGTAAAATTTGACTAAAGAATATTTTTGTTAGTAATCGAATTTGAACATTATCTAAATAATTTAATCTTAAATTTAACACATTAATTATTTATATTCAATCTCTTAAATTTATAAGTCATTTGATTTTTTTTATATAATCATTTAATTACTAAAAATGTTACTTGTGTATTAAATATTTTGTTAATAAAATCATTTCTTACTTATAATTGAGAATAGATCTGTCCATTAAAAAGTTTTCACTTGAATTCTCTAAGGTCAAAATTTCGTATTTTCTATTTTTATTATTTAAATTCTCTATTTAAATTTTAATTGTAGAGCGAGACTTCACTAAATAAAAAATATGACTTAGAGGTCCAAATCTTTGGATACAAAATAAAAAGTGATACTCTTGACTCACATTACATTACACCCAAAATGATTGGCACTAACAATCCTATCCAAACAAAAAAAAATCACATAAATTTGAAACAGCAGGTATAAACCCTAGTGACTTCAATTGTTCGAGACACATCCACGTGTCAAGCATTAGCGCGTGCTATGGATTTTCCCAATTTTCCTTTTTATTAAGCAGAGGAGAGGCTTCTCGGTTGTTGGTGTTCATGGGAGTCTCATAAAAATTAAGTGAGCCAATGGAAATTGAGATTTAGAACAAGACAAAGGATGAAAGAAGGTAGGAGGGAGAGTGAAGTTGCTGAAATCCTGCTTAAGCTGCCAACTCTTATATGGGAATTCCACTCACTCGCTTGGGGTTGCAAAAAGAAGAGATCTGCTATTGCCCTTCATGCTTCTTCAAGTCCTGCAATTCCTTTCTCCTTCTCCTTCTCCCCCTCTCACTCTCATCATCCCACCACACTCTTTTCTCTCAAAAGGGTATTTTTCCTTCCACTGCATTTTTCTTTATCTTTCTCTCTTCTTTTCTTTTTTTTTAAATTCATCTTCCCTTCTTCTTCCGCAGAAGAGAGAACAATATCTCAACATTATACAACAACTCACCAAGGACAACCATGTGCTCTATGGGGTAACTTCTCTCTCAACTTTCTCAATGCTAAGTATTCAAAAATAAATTCTTGCTTAGCGTTGTTGATCTGTGAAAAATCTTTAACAGGAGATAAATAATGTCGAGTGTTACTTCCAGAAGCTGAAGGACTGCAATTTCAAGTTGAAAGCAAGAAAACAAGAGGCAAGAACAGATACGACTTTCATTAGCATAACAATTTTTGTGTTTATCCCTCTTTTTCTTTTCTTTGTTTAGGGATTTCTTGTTCTGGTTACATTTATGTTGTTTTATCTTTTTCCCCATCCTGGGTCCACTCTTTTATTTTGATTTAATGAATTTTTTCTTTTTATTTTTTATTTTTTTTTACAGCTAAGTCGTGGCCTGAGTCAAGGTGTACCCGAGCAGCAACCGCAATTGCAATTACAATTCCCCCATCATCCACCACCGTTGATCGCGAATCAGACGGCTGGGCCAGCCCAAATCAGTGGCGGCGAGAGCGTTGCTCAGCAGCAAGCGTGTGGACGCGCAACGACCTCGTTGGGGGTGGCGTCCTTTAGTAACAATGTGGGCCCAAATGGAATTCCGGATCTGAACCTGCCTCTTGATGAGTCCATGGCAATGGACTTTGGTGAAGCTTTGGATGTGAATTTGAGTGTGGCTAACAAAAATCTGAGTCGGGCCGTGGCAGCTCAGGCCCGTCAGAATAGGCTTAACATTTACAGGTTCAAGAAACCAATCGGAACTAGTAAACTCCGTTACTCTTGTAGATCATAATAGATTATATGCATATACTCTCTTTCTTTCAAGCTCTTACCTTCAACTCTCCCTTATCACTAACTGCTAATATTTTTTTATTATTCTTATTCACAAGGAATTTAATGGGTGTTACAGTTTCATAGTAATGTATATTGCTGTCTGCCAGATTTTGTTGGATTTATGTAGATAATTATAATAATGTGTCTGATTCAGGGTTTTAAGACAATTTAAATGCTGGAATCGGTGTATTGGTACATTAGCATCACCTACTCACTCGTCACTAAGCTCCCAATTATTTTTTAGAATGATGTTAAACATATTTAGATCAGGGTGGAGGGAGAGGAAGACATAGAGAAAAATAAAATAAAATAAAGAGATAAATATAAATACAATATGTAGTGTAAAGGAAAAGATAAAAGGATGAGGAAAAAGATGAAGTGTAAAAGACTGAGATGTATATTTATTATCATTATCTATTTTCTAAATTATATTATAGTTTTTTATTTTATTTTTTTGATTTATTTTGATATTTTATTTTATAAATATTTATTTTAGTTTTTTATCTTCTATATTTGAATTAATTTAATTTTTAAAAAATAATTATTTTTATCTTATGACATGATTTTGAATCATTTATATTATTTAAGATGTCAAACTTATAAAATATATTTATATATATGAAAATTATAAAAGTTAATTGGTATTTAAATATAAAAAAATTAATCATAGTGAAAATCACAAAAATAAATCATATAAATAATTAAAAAAATATTATTAAATAAGAATTTTTTGAATTTTTTATTATTTTTTGGACTTATATATATATATGTAATTTTCGCTAAAAAGAAATTTGTTTAAATTTTAATTATGTTTAATAATTTTCATATAAATAAATTTAATCAAGTTTTAAACTTTAAATTAATTAAAAAAAATCAAAATTATCTCTCAAAATTTAAAATAATTATTATTTAAAAAATTAAATCAATCCAAATTTAGAAGATAAAAAACTAAAATAAATATTTTTAAAAAAATTATCAAAATGAATCTTAAAAATAAGATAAATAATAAAAATATAATTTAGTTTTTTATTTTATCCACTTTTAAACAACAACAACAACAAAATTCATTCCTTTACATATTTAAATGTTTATTTAACGTTTAAATTTTTTAGAGTTGTCATAAGTGATAATAATGCCCTTTTAATTTTTTTAAAAAGATAGGTAAAAGTAGAAAACAATAAATACATTTTTACTGACTTTTATATTTGTTTAGAGGAGAAGTTAAATTTGCCTTGTATTAGACCTTGAATTTGCCTGTATCATTGAAGCTTCTCAAACTACTTAGGAGGGATTTTGACTTGTACTCCTCTGTTCTGTGCATTGCAGCATGTTTTATTGTGAACTTCCTCATTCAAATATTATTATTTTCGATCTTTCCTCGAGACTTGGATTTGAGAAAAATGTTATGCTCATGATATATATACTTTTTTTTTTAATAAGTACATCTCTTTTCTCTTTTTAAATAAATTTTTGAAATCTTTAATTTTTTTTAGTTTTATATTTTCAACATTTAATTTAGCTTTTTTCTTCTTCTTTTTTATACACATTTTTTTTTCTTTTTTTCAGTTTTCACATCCATTCAATTATTCATTTTTCACCTATTTCAGTTGGTAGTTTTAATTCTTTCATTTTTTACATTATTTTTTCTTTCAATTTTCATACTATTATCTTCTTTCTTTTACTTTTCAAACGCGCTCAGAACATACAATGTTATAGACATTGTGACATTCTCGATAGTGTCAAAGATGTCAAGTCAAATATGTATTTTTTTGAGCATTTTCTCCCATTTACACATCTTGAAAACATAACATTAAATTTAGTGATCCAAATAATTTTAGTATTGCAGAAAGTACTTTTTGAAATAGTAAAATTAGTGTTCCAATAAATATTTTTTTGGATTTATTTTTTAATATAACACTAAATTTTCTATTCTTTAAAGAATTTTCAAGAATTATGTAAAACAACATTGTCCATAAAGTACTTTTCGAAACATTAATTTTACTTTTTCAGAAAGTATTTTTCAAAACACTTAAAGTAGTGTTATGGAAAGGACTTTCTAAAAGTGTATTATTTTACATAATTTTGAAAAATTCTTTTGGCAACAGTAAATCTAGTGTTATATTAAAGTACTTTTTGAAAGTATGTAAAAAAACACAATTCCAAAAAATATTTTTCGAAACACTAATTTCACTATTTCATGAATTACTTTTCAAAATATTGAAATTAATATTCAAGAAAGTATTTTTCAAGACACTAAATTTAATGTTAAGGTTTTTTAAAGTGTGAAAAGGAAGGAAATATTAGAACAAAAAACGTGGGTTTGATTTGACACCTTCAAAGTTGTCGAGAAAATTGTACATGCCTATAATTTCGTTATGCATCAATTCTATAGTGTGGACCCTGGATGCATGTAAAAATTGAAAGAGGTAAGGGAGAAAAAGAGTAATGTAAAATTTAAAATAATTAAAACTATTTATTGAATTAGGTGAGGAATAAAAAAAAGGAAATATATATGAAACCTGAAAAGGAAAAAGAATGAAGTGTGTGAAAAAAAGAAAATGTTAAATTGAAAATTAGAAATGTAAAATTAAAAAATGATTAAAATATTTTAGGAATTTTTTAAAAAATAAAATAAAAGATATGTACATATTTAATAAAAAAAGAAAGTGTATATACAATGAGTCTAGAATTATTGTGGATGCTTTTGCTAACAAACAGCCCATTTAACTAGAAAGCATTAAAGCACGTGAGATGAGGTTGACACACTTTAGTAGCTCTGGCCTGAGTAAGTCTAAATAAAAATAGCGCCGCCTCTGTTTTGTGTTTGAGTTGAGTTAGGGTTTGCTTTAGCCTTGCGCGTGTGAGGTCAGGCGTTTGTTCCTTGTACGGGCCGTGTACTGGATTGGGCCTATTTTTGGGCTAACCAATGTTTTTTGTTTCGGCAATAGCTATTTACATTCCTCCTTTTTATTTATATTTTTTCACCCTTCTGTATACCTTTCTCTGCCAATTATTTTCCAGGAAAAAAAAAATAATATTTCTACCTGTTGTCCAGTTACAAAGATTTTCCTAAAACACGAAAGAACCTCAATTACGGCAAAACCCACCTTGTCCTGTTTCGTTCCCAAGATTACATGTCCATCAGGAACCTCCTTAGGTAGATGAACGATGGAGGATTAAATATGTTTTTAATATTAAATTCTTATCAATTTTTATTTTTAGTCTTTGATTAAAATTTATTTGATTTTAATTTTTGGGGTTTTCCTTCGTAAACATGATTTTTTTTATATCAAGGACTAAAATGTTAATTAGAAAATAAGTTTAAAGACTAAGAGTAAAAAATCAATAAAAATTCAAGAATTAAAAATAAAAGTAAAAAAAAAATCAAAGACTAGAAATATATATAATCAAATAATGGATATATTATGTTGCAAATAACAAAATATATACACATTAAAAAATTGATCTCATGCATATTAAGAAAGTTAATTATCCACATTATATTTTACTAGAGAAGTCGAGGCACTTCGTGCCTCTAATAGTTATACACAAATAAATATTATAAATTATAGATAATTATTTAGCAAAAATATAAGAAAGTTTTTTATATTCAAGGAGTATAATCGTCCACTAAAAAGTGGAGACCAAATAGGTGGTTACCAAAATATATCCCCTTTATAATATGTATAGATGTATAGATTTGAAAAATGCGTGAAATAATTGATATATTAACATACTTTTATATATACTAATAAGGACCCTTTATAATATGTACAGATTTAAAAAATGCATGAAATAATTGATAAATTATCATACTTTTATATATACTAATAGGGGTTGAGGCACTTCATACCTCTAATAGTTATACACAAATAAATATTATAAATTATGAATAATTATTTAGCAAAAATATAAGAATTTTTTTTTTTATATTCAAGAGGTATAATCGTCCATTAAAAGTGGAAACTAAAGGGGTGGTTATCAAAATATATCCTTTTTATATGTATAGATAGATAGATAGATTACTTCCATAATATTTTTTAAAAATTACCTTTATTATAAATGTAAATAAAAAAAATAGAGCAACTAAAATATCATACATTAAAAGAGAGATATTTATATAAAAAAAACTTTATTAAATAAGACAAAACTAATTAAAATTTATTTATATTTAAAAAAAAGTTATTTTTTTTTTCTTTTAATTGAAAACAAAGTAATTAGGACAACACCAAATCCTGATATGACTTGCACCCATGTCTTTTAAAAAGCTAATTAAGTTGTTGTCTTTTGTCAGGAGAGCTTCATATTTATCAATGTTCTCCTTGAATTCAAATTTCTTTATTTACATATAATTCAACTATATATTTCTTTAGAAATTTTTAGTTTAGGCATTTAGTCATGTAATTTTCCTATATGTGTCTGTTTATAAATACATATATCAAATTTTTATATCCAATTATTAAATTAAGAGTTCATAATATAATTAAAGTATGTAAATATTTTTAAAATTTGAAGATCATATAATACTTCATTATATAGATTGAAATTAATGTATAAATTATTTTTTATAATTATTTATTAATTTGGATTAATAAAATGAAGTATCAAATATTTAAAAAATTTACATATTTGATTTATACATTTAGAACTTTTAATTTAACCATAGAATTATTGAAATTTGATGTAGAACATAAATTATTGAATTATGAGTGAAGTAAATTTACTAAGACTTACTCCTAAAATAAATGAATCTCTCTCTTTATCTATCTATCTAAAATAAGTGAATCTCCCTATATATATTATAGAGAGAAAAACGAAAGGGTGATTGATCGTGAATCTTGTCTAATAAATGTTTAAACAATATATAAACTTTGATTATCCTTTTTGAAACCTAACTTGTTTTTTTCTTATTTAAACTTTTTTGTTAGATCACCATTTATGTATAGATAAAAAATAAGTGAAATTATAATTTTCTTTTTAAATAAACTTATTGATAAGTATTTAAAAGAGAAATTTTTTTAAATAATTTTCTCCCAATTATTAAAATTAACCTATATATAAATTAAAATAAACTTTTAAAATATTAATATTAAAATCTATATTAATTTATGCATAAAT